GATTAAACCAATATTGCAATGCGTTCTTGCATATTACGCGCCCACTGATCGCTACAAGGAAAAGGAACGAGTGCCAATCAATAGTCAACAGGGGTTGCTCCAATTTCACAACGGGGTCCGACCCAAATTGACAAAAATGCGACCGCAGAGAATGCAGCCGACTCGGATGAAACCGTGCAAACCCTGATTGTCAATTTACACTTTAGCTGCCATATCAAGTTTGGCACGGGGGAGGATCCGTGCACAGCCACCTCATCAACAAACTCTGTGGCTGTATCTCTTCAAAGATCAAGGTTCAAAGGTAATAGGTCTGTAAAACGGGCTCAGTACAAGAACCAATTCCGACTGACACAACTGTGCATCACCACATCCATTAACGCAAAATTCAGGATGGGCAAACCTGAATATGCAGAGGTCTTAAAATAGCCAAAGTCTAACAAAGGAAAGCGTATGTGTGCGTCATCCGCAGAGATCCCCCAAACGACTGTCCAAATTTGTAACTCGGAGAAACATGCCATGCCCCCCCCCCGATTTCTGCTTATTCACAACAGAACACAATGGCAGGGTACACCTGCAAAAGGAATATGTACATTTAAAACACATCCCCTGTGAGCCGAGGGGGGAACAGCCATCCGAGTAAGCATCTCACGGAATGAATTTCCAGAGATGAAGTGGGAACATACTCTTGACACATTTCAGACGTGGACAAAATTTGGAAAGCAAGCTCCAATAAAGTTACATTCTGGGGCATGTAAACACACAAAAAGGAACTGAATTTTATGCACTATTGGATAAATACCCGCTTCTTGTGTTGCAATAAAACTTTACAATATTTTCCTGGCAAACACTACAGATTGATACAAATATAAATTTCACACGCTGCCTTTGGAAAGTTCAAGTCAAGTTCAACACCTCCTACCCTGGGTTAGTTGGGGTCAAGGCCAAGAAAAGGAGGTCTGTGATTGGTCCATTCACAAGCAGGTGGAAAGAGTCAGAGATACCATTTCGTCGTAGACAGCATATCTGCAGAAATGCTGTCGCCATAGACTGAAAAAAATGGATTTGATTTCACATGTTGAACACGCCAGTTCACTTTTGGACAATTGAAAAACAATCCTTAACCCCATTTTCAAAGGGAGGGGGTAGATGAAAACAGGTTGATTATGAACACCTGACACTTAATGTTTAAACAGATGAGGGGGAAAAAAAAAGATGACAATTCTACTACCTTTTATGTTGTGCACTCGAGCAATGTCATGTTTGTTTCACAAGCAAACGTCATCAAAGACGTTCATGAATAAAAAAAAAGGAAAAAGCTTGATAAATGAGACATCATAGTAAGATGTATCGGTGATTAATCCCATGCACCAGCATTTTAGTTTGCGGGCCGTGCAGCCGTGTTTTGCACAGCCAGTGAAATGTGAAAATGAAACCCGAGCTAAAATTCAGTCTTCTCCCAAGCTTTTCCCACCATCAAGCAAGTCCAAAATACAAAATACGCTGCAGTAAAGTACATGATTACAAGCTGGGACTATGGTTCGGACGTTTGGTTCAATTGTATCGATGGCGGCAGGCAGGTTCCATTACCTACGTGTACAAGTAATGAACTACAGCACCGTATCTATCAACTTGTAACAAATTGAATACAGGGAGCCATACTTGTTCACCAACGATCGATCATACATGTAATCAACCTCATTCCCGTGGCAATCGTTAGTCGTTATATTGCGCCCACTCTCGCACGAGGAAGTCCGTGGGGATGAGGTTAACATATTCATTTCGGGGCTTGTGCCGCATGCTTCCTATATCATCCAGAATGAAACGAAAAATAACAGATTTCTTCTTGAAGGCAAGGGCTGGCCTACACGTAATCTTTGTTCTTGTCAATAAGCAGCATAAAGCTTGTTCAGGTTCTTCTATCGTAACGATGGAAAAAAATTGTCGAAATCTTCCGATGCCACGTTCAGACTCATGCACAAGCACGAGCACGTGGCCTGCCTGTGGAGCACGTGGCCTGACTGTGGTGCACGTGGGTACGTTTAGAGTGTGCATGTACACTCACTATGCATGTACGACATGCATTTTTTCATCCACATTTAAGTCGAGTCTTGTACTTAATTAGCCAAATTGCCGAAGGAAGCATGCATGTAGGAATACTGGGATTTATTTTATATCATTATTTATTTCTGTTTGCTCATCACATAATAATCTGAATGTGCTGTGTTACAAAGGCAGAACAATGCGTATTAACCTGCATTACTACTTGCATACCATTTAAAAACAAAAAACAAAATAAAGTGGTGATGAGAAATCTGTTCAAGGGTGTTTGTCATTATGCACTTCTTTGTTGCAGGGCTGTTTAATCACACTATATAAAACAATTACACACAGTTTTAGAACAAATTTTTTTCTAAAAGCTGGTTTTTTTGTTCAAAAAGGCAAAACTCTCAAAAAGTCAGAGAAGGCAAAAGTCAGAAATTTGTCAGAGACCACCAGAGAGCATCTAAAATAGGCAGAGTTTCCAGGGCCCTTACGTAGGCCTTGGATCCAGGCTGTAAGGGACTTCGCGCTGCGCGCTCGTGTTACGTGCTTCAAGTTCACGCACAAATATTGGACCCTAACAAGATTGCACTCCCTGTTTTTCATTTTGCACTCCTACTTTTCAAATCCTAGCTAAAACACTAGTTGTTTGGCATTCAAAAGTGTTGACTCCTCCCCTTTTTTCTCCTCTTATTAAAAATTTATACTCAAGGAATTTCCACTCCAAAGGTTTGCGAGCCTCGAAACAAATCAAGCTTTGCACCCTGCGTTCTCTGCTCCACTAAGGAGCTTTAATGGAATGGCCCAAGATGCAAATTTGTCCCAATCAAAAATCAATACGGGCATGACCTGCAAAGAAGTACGCCGACCTCCTCTTGTGCACTTTTATCTGACGTAGCGTGGGGCAGAGAGACGCTCAAGTGGGCAGCCATCTTGGGAAGAAATCGAGCAAGGGAAGGGGGGAAAATGGACAGGGGACAAACTTGACAGATCTGATGGTTAAACGGGGCAGGTTTGAACCAAAGCATGGCTGCCGGGATTTTTCAAGGGGTGGGGGGGAGAGGAGGGGGGCAACATACCAAAACCTTTCAGAGACCCTGGCACGCATGCATGCGAGGGGGAAGGTGGGGGTAGGGGAGCATCGATGCTCCACAAACAGCTGCCACGCAGGGTGGTAAATGGAGTGACAGAGACGGATTGTGAGTGAGTGGTGGAAACAATCTTGACGGAGGAAAAAAGGATGGAAGAGCAAAGCAGCACTGTTTCAGTGAAATGCACAGCACGTGTAGTTCATAACGCAGCTGTTTTCTGTGCAGACATTCCCTACAAAGACACAAATGAGATGAAACGTACTGAACTACGACATAATTTGGTATTTCAGTAACACCTTTTATGTACACAAAATGAATTACAAAATGCTAGGAATGAGGTACATGGCAACAGCAATAAAACACAATCTTTGTATGTCATACTGTAGCTTCTCAAAGGAAGATTAAGCTGAAAAAAAGAACACTGAACACAAGGAGACTTGAACCTGTGCCCAGACCTGCTGGAAGTGTGCGTTTTGAAACCATTATGAGCTCTGGTACATGTGCCTCATGTGTAAGTGTAAAACTCAGCCGCTCAACACAGTACAGTATAAATCACATGTCCTGTGAATAGATAGCATCTTTGTTCTTCGGAAATTTCTTGGAAGCTACACACAACCCATGTCAGAAGTCAGGGGGGCAGACAACATCAGCATCACCATGAGCCAGGGGGACATGTCAGTTGGGGATCACTCAAAGGGGATTTCTGTCTTGACGTCGCGATGACGACAACCAACCACTGTCAAGCATTTCAGCCATACAACTGACAGCCATACGGACAGTTTTCTAGGAAATTGGTCCACGGATGTCTGGGCATCAGAACTAGGAAAGGACAGCTTGTGATTAAGCATCAAGGAAGGGGGTGATGGGGCGATTAAGTAAGCAGACCTACATGTCAATCACAGACATGCATGATGAGCGCTTGTCACAGAAGGAGAGCCAAGTTGAATCCAGCACATTTGCTCATGAGGCATACATGCACAAAATGTCCGAACAAAGGCCAAATCATTTGCCCAGGTGCCGACAGTCAAAGGGACCACTTTCACGACCCACGTGGAGCATCTCTGCATTGAGTGTGTGGCGTCAGATGTGAAAAGTGGCTCCCATTAACGTGCCCAGTTTCTCACATCAGATCTGAACCCCCCCCTAAAAAAAATTTCCAAGGATTGAATCACGCAGGCCTTGAACCAACCTGGCACACTTTCACAACTGAATCCCCTCCCAGCAAAAGAAATGGTGTAGAGGGAGAAAAGGCTTTGAACAACAGTACAAAAGAACTATCCAGGAACAACGGACACGGTCATTTCTTTGACAGTTCAAGTTGGAGACACGGAAGACTATTAAATTGTGACACTGAAAGGAAAGTCTATACTAAACTACAAGCTCATTTCTGATGCACACTTCCACTGTGTTTTAAACAAAATGTATGGCCAAAAACTGAGACAATACTTGGCTTGTTTGCCATACAATGGCCTGCTGCTGCTGGTTGGAAGGCAAGTTCTTTAGGGACACAAATATATTCCTTTCAGACATGGAAACCAGTGAAATAGGGGGAATCAAAGTTAATGAAAATACATGTTTAGTCCCATGCAGAAAATTCCCCCCCCCAAAAAAAAAGAACAGGATACAATACACGATGATGAATTCTGAAAAATAAAGTTGATATATTTTCCACACTTTCTTAATCTGACAGATTTGACCAGTCTAATGTTTCCATTCAGACAAACTGCAAAGACGGGACGTTGCATTATGTTCCATAAACTTAAGCTGTAAAAAAACAACAATGTAACTCCGAGGTTGATAGTGAAAGTTTACACGGAGCTCTTTCACTATTGTTCATCTCGGCTCTTGATAGGCCCTCAATCAACTTACCTGGATTGAACAGAATCGTCATTTTCAGGTATGCGTATTCCTTATCGTCCAAGCCCATCAATTCGCATTTACTGAAGAAGCACTCCATCATGTGTATGTCCGATTGGGTGGGGATGCCTTGCAGGGCGACAAGACAGCGTAGCAGCATGTTCTCGCTCGTGTGACCATGACAATGGTGGCATGTCTGCGGGTCGCCGCTGTTCCCACCACTGCTGCTGCCACTGCTGTCCACACCAAAATCGAAGTCCACGTCCTCCGTTTCAAAGTGGAATCGGTACTGCGTCATCATGAGCACAAGGAGTTCGGCCCAGCAGTGCTGGAACAGCGTGATGCGGTCGTGCGGGCACAGCCGCTGGCAGGACGGTAAATTCCGGACGAAGTCCACCGTCTTGAGGAGGAGCTGGGCGGCCTGTTGGCAGATGACCTCGTGGTGCTTGAGGGTGATGACGGTGGGCGGGAGGAGGGTGCCAGGGCCCCGCCTCCACAGGGCCTGGTTGACAACTTGTGAGACCGACGCCACACCGGCGGTGGGATATCTTCTCTCGGTGGGTGCTGCTGTGCCTGCCGCACTGCTGCTGTTGCTGCCGCTGCTGGCTGTGTCCGGGTCCACGGCCATCGGCTCATGGGCGCTAGACGACAAAAGACTGTACAATATGCTGCCCTCTTTCATTCTCTCTGGGCAGTCGCAAGACGACAGTGGCATGGATGTGGACGAGGATTCGGTGGATTGTGCTGTGGACTTGCTCTGCATTGGTGCCATCTCTGATTGGCGCACCACCCAGTTAGATGCAGACCCCAGGAAACACTATTACCCTGGGGAAAAAAATTAATTCAGTTAACAAGAAGCAACGTTCCAATTAAAAAACTACTCACTCTAGCCTCGTCAAACAACAGCAAATTTAGCAGACATCCTGTGAATTTTCAGTTTGCTCTACGGTACTGGTATATTTTTTTTAAGTGGCTGCTAGCAAGTAAAAATGTTACAGTGAGTAGACACCTGCTCACATAATTAGTGACGAACACTTTGGAATCTTTCCATGATTACTCACACAATGAAAGATTTAGGAGTTGGTGTCAGTGACTGCAAAAGCAATCATTCTCTACAATCATAATGAACATTTGTCAGAATTATGACAATGCTCGGATGAATCACAAACTGGGGAATGACGACTGCCAGTCCCTGAAATATTGAGGAGTACAATGTAACTGTCCCCAGACATCCTTTCTGCCTTGAGGACACCCCTACCTGTCAACATACATGTAATATTTGTAACATTTGGTTCTAAAATCTAAAATGGAAGTTCCGTCCAACGTGAGCGATCTGATCACAGCATGTAGATTTGGGAGCTGACGAACCCTGCAGACCCCTTCATCACTGGTACCTAAGCAAGCTTTAATACTTCCTAAGTACTTAAATGGGTGACCAGTGTAATGATCTGGAGCTGAGTGACCACTGACCACACAAATGACAATTACTGACCACAGACGGCCTCCTTTCTGAGGTGTGTCTCTTCCTTTTTTTTCCTGTTATCTCAGACATTACAAGCACTACCCATGTAACTATGCCGACAATATTGACATTATTAATGGGAGTGTGCTTAGCCAGGGCTGACCTTGGCAGTTTTGCAGGCTGGACTGAATTGAATTCCAATAATTTGGTCAATAATAGATACCTAGAAAGTGTGCTTAAGCAGGTGTGGAGAGCTCAGAGCACTCAACCTTGAGAGTGTGTGGGAGTAGGTTATGTAACGACGATAATCACTCTACACACATCAACTGCATCATGAACATCCATTGTAATGGGCCCCTACACTGTGATCCATTTCTATTTTGAACCACGAAAGCAGAGAATCCAGTTTCTCAGAATTTTGACAGTGGAGTCAATCAGTTGTTATGCCTGCAGCCAGATGTAAAAAAAAGAAAAAGCTGGATTTTTCCCAAGTAGTGATTTTTAATAAATTGTTAACAACAGGTAAATATAAATGCACTTTCAACATCTCATTTGTTTAAAAGATGTCTCTTGGACAAAGAGCCTCCAGAATCCCTTCGGTTACTAGTTATCACTTGAAAAGTTGTCAGTATGCTGTTTAGGTAATGACTGGCAAAAATCTCTGTCAATTAAGTACTGGCTTTTGATAAACTATATAGCATAATAAAGTTCCGACTTCAATTTTTTTATTCCTTCATAATGGCATGAAAGAATTTCACAGGTAACAGAACATTAACTTTGAAAAATGAAAGAACACACAGCTGATATTATTTCCATGCTAACCATCATTTTCAGAATTTCAACGTTCAACTGCTTATTTGACATTCCATTTTTTATCGTGTCCTGCAACCACCACATGTAAATTCTGTAACCCTCCAACAGTTTAAAATGGCAAATTCCATCAGAAAGTCCAATGACTTATGCAGGACACTGGGGTACTTATTACGTGTTGAATGCTTGAGGGTTGATTTTGACAAAAAGCCCAGGAAGAGTACATTATACATGAAAATGCAGCATCCAGATTTGCACTTGATTCACATTCTGAGAAGGGTTACAGAGTTTCTTGGTATTCTGAAAACAATTGGAAGTGCTCATTAGTTCCTAATTTATTATTCATTTGTTCATATTTTTAATTTAAATTTACATACTGACCACCATAAAGGTTACATAATGAGCCTACGCATGTGAACAAATACACTATACAACACAATGAAATCAAGAGAGTCGCATCGGGATTTTGCATTCTTCCGAAAATGGTTTGCACTTCTGATTTTTGGGGGCAAAGGTGTGATTGGCATCAGCCGTACAGAAAAAAGCAGCATAAAAATACATTCCAGTCTATATACCTGTTCGATAAGGTGTAGAAATTTATCTTCAAGGCATCTCAGGGAAGAGCTCTAAAACATGAACTGAGATGCACAGTTTTGTGAATAGCATGAATCTTGGATTTCCCACTTTATTCCAAGCAGGGCCTCGAGGCTGAGACCTTGCACGACAGCTCAACTGCAACCTCAAGACACCACACATTTACCCCACAAAATTTGCGAAAACGTGCCTCACTTATCACAAAAAAAAACACAAAACTGTCAAAATTTATTATTCAGACAACACTTTGATGGTAGCGTGAAAAGGCTATGGAACTGTACACATTGTAAAGACAGAATAATTTTCTAAATCAAAATTCGACGGAGGAAATATTCCAAACAAATTTTAAGGTTCAGCAGATCGAACCAGTAACTGACTCTAGCCCTCGAACTTTTAGTCTTAATTTCAGGTCACTTCAAGTCGGTACGTTCTGCAGTTCGCAACAGCTCTTCAAGTGCAATTCTTAGTCGTTTAATTTGGTGCACAGCTGAGACTTTTGAGAAGCAGTTTGAACCTTGTCAGAAACTGTGGAGCGGCTGAGCGCAGCTTGATTATAGGACGAGTGCAATGGCTCATTCTCCGCTGCAGGCACACATGCACTCCTCGCTCGACAGACGATGTCAATGGCCTTCACTTCACGTGAATGTAATCGGCCACCAAAAACAAAACTCCCAAGCCGGATTAACCCGTACAGAAACGCACCGTCTCCCCCACAAACACCCCTGAAAACGGCTCGAAAAACTCGGCCTGCTTACCCAGCACGGTCTGTGCACCCCTCAGGTTGGGTATTCTGGAACTTTGCGGCCACAGCTGATGAGGGAAAAGGAGGAGAAAAACGAGGAGTTCGCCAGTTGTTAAAAAAATCCAGTGTCTTTTGCACGAGTTGGGATGCATGCGTGCACTGACGTCAGTTTCTCCGTCGATTATACACGTGTGTGCTGGCGTTATTATGAATAGGTTTGCATGCAGCGCTGGCTTCAAGTTCGTTACCCCTGACCCATTTAATTGCCAGCGCTGATTGGTTCGACTGGGTGCCTCATTATAATACACTATTTGCGATTGGTCTAAGTTCGTGGCAGGTGGGATTAGCGGGCCCCGCATCCAGCACAAATTCGAGGTGCAACGCGGAAGTACATGTACATGTACATTGTACATGCTCATGTTGCAGTAAATGAATTACTTTATACTATAGCATTTTGCCGTAACATTGAACAGACAGCGTTGTTTTCCCTTCTTAATGATTCAGACGAGCGCAGGCAATGTACATGTACTATGCCACATTTCACCAAGGTCTTTTCCTGGATCATTCTGTAAAATCTGGGCTAGGCAAGGTCATGTGAGAACAAAAAACGAGGAAAATCTCTGAGGTCTATGACCGGCTGTGCCATCTGGCTCGTCCACTACATGCACCAGGAACACAATACAATATCATGCGATTTTCCAACTCTTTCAAAGGATTACTTTATTTATTATTGTTTACAAGCCGTAAAAATGAAATTAAATAGCGTGTTCCCCCAACTGTGGATTGTGATTCCAGATTAACGATAATATATTCACCTGTTTCGTATTTTGTGAGCGTTTTCACCATCCCCTGTAGATGAATCAAATTCAAAACTTGGCCAAAATGATTGTCACCCTAGAGGTTCTTAGACCCACCCGTTCAGCTTTGCGCATGTTTCCACACGAATCTATCCACCGAAAAAAAAAAACGAAACAAACAATTTTACAAACCCTTGAACGGATTAATACACCCTAAGGTTTGCAGTGTCACCAAGGTTTACCATAAAGAGCATCTGACACCACTTTCAGTGATGTTAGAAATCGAAACCTTTGACAACAAAATGTGACCAAGCCTTTCCTAAAAAATACTGGCATGACCGTCGCGCGATCAGGAGTGCCAAGGATATATTCCGGATAAACAGAATATTATTTGCACATGACTTTCCACTGTGGGTTGTTATGCAAATGTATCTATTTTTAGAATTAAAATCAATGCCCGACGGTATCTTGCTGTCGGTGTCAAGAATCAATTAAATTGCCAGTAACTGTATCAACATTGACGGTGCGATGCAAACGGATTTTTTCCTGACATTTGCCAATGGTTGACGAAGGCCTCTTGAGCAATTATTCTAGTTTTACACATTAGTGTGCTTCCAGCTGAGATAATAAAGATTTTACAAATATTTACATGGGTAAGATTAGAGGAAAATGAAATATCCACAGAATAACGGAGCTTTTGAGGTTCCCCGTAGCAATGAAGGGTCTACGGTACACATTCGTGTTTGCCAAAAGACATTCCTTTAAAAAATCCTTTTCTTCTGTTTCAGTATTTATGTGTAAAGACACCTTAACAGTAAACTCGGGACATTCCAGATTTTAAAACTCCGCTGAAGAAAATCCTGAAACTCTGTCAGGAAAAATCCCGACAGATCTCATCTCACACTTGCATTTCTCAGCTTTTCACTTTCCACACAACTGTTCATCAAAATTCTGGTATGAATTTAATGAATGAGTTTTCATTCCCGATATGAATTTAAAGAGGTAGATATTTTATGTCCTTTTAGGACAATAATTGGAGAACTCCATATTGGGAAAATATATCTAGACATTATTAAAAGAAACTGTCACTGATGTTATGGAAGTGGCTGATTTTCAGGTTATTTGTAGCATTGTTTTCATTCTTCTATTTAAAACGGCTATCGCGGCAAAGCAACTAAAAATGAAACCACCTCAGAGGATACTTTAGGCAAGACGATCCCATCTATCAACCCGTTTGTTCCTTTTATTCTGTGTTCATTTTTAACACAGGCGCCCTAAAATACCCTCCTCTGTCTATTTCAGGGAAACACAATGACGTTCTCTGGTGTGTGACGAATCCAGATAACGACGAACCCTCCCTCCACCCGCCAAAAAAATCGGGGTTAAACAAATTCGCCCACAGAAGGTCGAGGTTCATTTGGCCGCCACTCCATCGTGCTGTCTAAATATGGCCCGAAATGACGTCATCGTCTGTGTATTTCTTGTGAAGGCAGCCTTTCCGGGAGTTCTAACCAATGGAATGAACAGACAACAAAGACCACGGTAGGTGGGTTGATGAATTATTGTGGCGTATTTTTAGATCCTACGTCATAGCTGGCCAATTTCTCGAAATTGTATACATTCCTATTACATTTGGTCTTGTTCCTAAGAGTAAATTAATTTACTAAACTATTACACGAGAACAGTCGAGTAAATCAACTCGTACAGAATACTCGTAGGGATTGCTGATTTGAGAAAGTGCACTTGTGTGTACTTTTTCATTTTCAAACCAGAAAGGGGAAATCGTATCAGTGACCAGTTTGACGTTGATTGTGGCGACAAAACATGCAAGGACCAAGCTCGCCACTGAGCCACAAACACTGGCTCATTAATTTTTGGGGAAAATGCAGGCACATTTGATACTAGAATGCTGGAGCAGTGGCGCCCAGACCGACACGATCAGCCGTACCGTATGGCGCAGAACCGTAAAGCTACAGACTTCATCATCCGGGGAGACACTTCTGTAAGACTAAAAAACTGCAGAGGCACCATGTCATGTTGGCACCACAATAGGCTGCACCCGAATCTCTTGCCGAGAGCTAGGGCCCTTTTCCAATACTCGACTTGGGCTCCGTCTCAGGCTTCGTTCCCAACACCAATCCACGATTGTGGGCCTGAAGCGTTTAAATTAAATTGGATTACTGTTCTTTCTGGCTCTCTTGCATCTTATTTGATGTTTTGTGGCACTATTAAACTAATTACTGCGCTTAGAGCTTCAACGTCAGCTAGCTAAAAAACAGTTGAGACGAAGCTGAAGTTGAGTATTGGAAAACGGCCCTGGTCTACATACAGGTCTCCGCTCCATTGGAAATGCGTGGAGACGTGTAGACAATAGACCTAGCCGTAGCTCTGGAAGCCCGTTTCAGAGTCGGACACGGCTGCAGTGTGCCCATTATGCCATATCACGCGTCGTGCGTTTTGGCAAGTCACATCCTATTGGTCGAGGAGGCACTGAACGCGCGCGTACACCCTGCGCGCGAGAGACGTCAGCGCACCACCACAAGTTTTGGATGCGTTGCATGCAGTGGCTCCATGTAGGTTCAAGCTCTTGAAATTATCTGTAAGTATTTGACCCCAGCTTGCAATCTGAACAAAAAATGAACGAACATTTTATGCTTCCAGTGCCCAATGAAAAAAAAGCCACTTATGCATCTGGGGTACCCTCTAGAAGTTTTTACCATTACACCACCAACACTCACAGGGCAAAGTATGGTAGCCGCCTTGTGGTACGAAATAACCCTAATAGTCCTCCAATGTTAATAAGGTTACACACATGCTAGGGAGCTAAGTTTAATGATTACCCCAGCCTTTTCCCTGAATGCCAGATTCGGTAAAAGCGGACACTGTATTTGAAAAGCTCCAGCAACACGCCCTTGGTGGCTTGTTTTCAGCGATTCCGTGTATGCAAGAAATGGAAAGTCCGAGTTGGCCATCTAAAACGTATTCAAGGGTTTGTTTGAGTTTCGACTTTTTCATATTGTATATCGATCTGCAGGCTATGCACGTGGCAAGCTTGTTCAAAATGACGATCAAAAATTGTTTCCCATGGCTCGTTCGAGTTTGGACACTGTTAGGCTGTTTTACCGATCTGCGAGGCATGTCACGAGACCGTCATAAGACAGAGAAGCCCCTGTCCTTGTAACATGGCTGCATAGTACAAGTTTAAGGTTGTGCAATTTCTCATTCGTTCACTCGTGATGGCCGCCCAAAACGCAAGGTCTCCAATTTGTCAAATTTGGCGCCAATGCCAGCGCTAGTCTCCTTGTTCGCACACTCGGCACGATAAGCCGGCCTTGGTACGTGCCAAGTGCAGCGGTGTGTGCGAAGCCTTCGAGATTCGCAAATTCCCCCACCTCGACAGCAAAGCTACTTGTCATTAACAAACGAAAGATGAATTTAGTATAAAGGTGAACAGAAAAGTCCCTGACGCCACACAGCTATGCTTTGTGATTCGGGATTAGCTTGGCAACACACGCGTAAAAACAAAAATCCAAATACCAGGCTTGGTATATCTCGATACGTGTTCAGAGTGTTGGCAAAATCGCTGGTGCCTCGCCTGCGTCCATTCTCGCCCGATTGATCGAACACGTGTCTGACGTGTGAATTTTGCTACGGTGAGTGAATCCCGCTCATTTCGGCCCGCCTCGAAAGCCCGCCCCTGCGCTCGGTTCCACATCGGGGCGGATCCTGCCCTGGACGTCGTTGAATGACACTATAATTCAAGGAGCCGCGACGGGCACTTGAAAAGTTGCGACGAGGAAAAATGCGGGTTGTCATTCAACACGGGCTGCATCCCCCACACCAGTCAACTTTATGCGAACTCACTCACGTGTAATTTATTGGCAACGTTAGTTTAGACCTGCGTATATTTCATTTTGCAAAAGGAGACCAGTTCAATAACGTGACGGCTAAGAGAGTTGGAGCGATGTGGACTTGAGATCAGAATGATCGAGTCTACTAGACCTACGATTACACGCACACAGCTGTGCTGACGGTCAGTTTCACCTGAGAGTTCTCCAGTGATCTGCCTGAAAGTTTCACCTGAAAATCCTAATACGATGCCTCTTCCCCGAGTTGAAATACCCCCACCCCTCGACAACATGCCCCAAAACATCCCTCAAAGAAGCAAACCCTGTCGTACCGCGATTGACTAGAACACTCAGGTGGACGCATACTGATGTCTCCGCTTTAGACAGCTCGTTACTCGCCGAATCAATAAATTCCTGAAAAATATGACACTGAATGCAGGATTGCAAAGAACAATCAATCTCTTAATTTTCATTTCAAGAAAAAGAAATTTCAGTTTTTACGTACATTAAATGTACGTAACGTTTGGGGTGCTCATCACTAGAGATAAATTTTATCTCTAGTGATAAGCA